TTTTGAGGCTTTTCCTCATTTTTATCAAGCTTGCACACATCCAAACTAATTAGATTCCAGCACCATCTGCACAAGCAATGTAAATCAGGATTGCAGGGAGTTGGGGAGTTTTTTTTGGGGGAGGAGAATGACCACAAGGACGGGGAGGGGTGTTGGGGTGGGGGAGACGCAGGGAGTTATGCATTCTGGGAAGCCATACATGATTAGTCACACAGCATTAATCTGCCTCCCCTCACAATAGCTGCCGAATTTCGACCGAATCCCAGCTGTCGCTCTTTGAATGAAAGAAAACAAGATTTAGAGCGTCAAGCGTTGGTAAGGGCTTCTGCGCAGGGGGAAAAAAAAAAAAAAGTGGCGTGCATTCATTAGTGGCTCACAAAGGGACCCAGCCTTTGTCCATTAAATTGCTCATGTGCCTGATTAATTTGCTGATTTCTTTTCCAAGGGGCTGGGGGTTTGGATGGGCGCGGGGGGAGAAGGGGGCAGGAGATGCCAAACTGGGCAGAATAGCAGAAATGCAATCGATGCGCAGATGCAATCCCCCCTCCCCTCCCCGTGTTCGCGGCCATTCAACAGTTGGGATGGAAATGCCTTCAGGTCCCACCGCTTCTTAATTGGAAATTTGGGGCAGGGCAGGAGCGTCTTCTGGGCCAGCCCCAAACTTGTGCATGCTAAGCAGGCGGAGGGGGCGTCGGGCTGGGACACGGAGTCTCGGCCATTCAGATTTCTTTTATGTATTAGTTTCACAAAAAGGGCTGGAGCCTTATTCATTTCTGCTTGGTTATTGTTCTCTGGGAGCCGGGAGTGAATGAGCCATCACTGCGGTGGGTCGGTTACTCCTTCAGGGAGTCCGGACATTTCACCCAGGGGTTTTTCCACGACCGGACTGAGCAGAACTCTCCCAGAAAAACACCTTGCGGAGCAGAGCCTCTTACGGCCCCTCTTACTGAGCAAGCCATGCATTCCCACGAACCAGGGACCTGCTGGATACCAGGGGCCCAAGCCCTAGTTACAGATCGTCAGCTCCACCGACATGAGTGAAGTCACAGCCCCTGATACTAGGGCTCCAATGTCAGCCCCATGGAGGCGAAGGGCTAAGCGCCTGCTGACAGTCACTCGTCACCAAGTCTGGCCTCAGGTTCAAGTAAATAAAAAATAAAAACCTGAATAAGACCGTCATGATTCTCCCTCCAGGTCTGAACAACACCAAACCTTTGGGCCCACATGGCTCTATTCGCTGCAACAGGGCGAGTCACATGAATACAACCAGCAGGATTTGATGCCAAGGTCAAATTGGGCACCCCAACTGGGTGCCAGGGGCCTGCAAATGGCATGTGCCTCTAGTACAGAGCATGCATTTCATCCTAGGAAATCCAGGCTGCCAAAGCAAGAGTCAAGCGTGTTTGTCCAGATTAAGGAAACTCAGTGGCTGAATTCTCTTTCATACTTACAGGCACTGCCCTGTCCCATTGAGGTAAGCTTCGCACTTTCCCCCATTCAAGCAGGATTCGGCAGGCTGTGTACATTGTAAACCTGCAAAGAGAAGGTGAGAGTTAGCCAGGAATCACGGGCCTCCGAACCTAAAGAAGGGACATCAAGGCAGCCTTTCCACTGATCAAGGGTGGGGTCAACACATGGGATCTGCTGCGTCTAGGACTTCACTCGGAGTAGGGCTGAGCAAGGACAAGCCCACGTGCGAGCAGCCTACGACAGCAGGTCTGCAGAGAGCCCGCAGCTTTGCCAAACTCCTGGGAGCGAGGGACTCTCGGGAGAAGATGCCATCAAATGATGCACCACACAAAAATGCACGGCTGATTATGCTGTGACCGGTTTCTAGGCACAGCGTGCTTTCACAGGGCCCGGTCTCGTCTCCACTCAGGGAAAAGTTGGCCCGAGACGGAGGTTTTTTGCAACACTTGATGGACTAGGAACTAGATGCTGCGCTCTCCACCCAGGAAAGCTCTCGGAGAAGCACCCATGGAAAACCTGCCTGGGTCAGGGAACGGAGGTTGGGGCCGGAAAGTTTGGGTGACAAGGACGGTTCTGCAAACCTAAGCAAGGGACCCAACCAAAAATCACTGCTCACTTGCGCAGTCCATTGAAGTCTGCTCACTAGACCTGAACAGGCTGCTAACATGGCCCTGAGAGCCAAATGTCTGCTTCCAACTCTCTCTGGAAAAAGCTCACTGCCACGCTGACAGTAATGGCTCTGGACATACAGTCAAAAACTCATGTAAAGCCCACAGAAATAATAAAGAGCAAAAATGCCCAGAGAGAGGGTGGGGGTGGTTAAACCAAGAGCAGCAACCGCTGGAGGGTCCGGAGCACCAGCGAGATCGGGGGGCGGGAGGGACCAGGGCTGCTCGCACGGTGCTTCCAGCCCAAGGTGTTTCCTTCGCAGATTCACCCGCAGGGCTCTGCTGCAGGGCGGTGGCAGAAGAGGGCTGCGAGGCAGCTTTAAAGGAAAGCCGCAGGGCAAAGAGCGTCGCAGGCTGCTCTCCCGGCCAACTTTATCTGCCAACTTTCTTTTCGGCGTGCAGGGCCGGCTGGGCGCCGGCTTCCCAGCCATCTACTGGGATTGTTTGCCCCGCGCCCCCCTCCCTGCCAGACTCCTGCATGCCGCTACTGTCCTGCCTACAGGAAAACGCCCCCGAAACGCTGGCGGAGCGTCTGGCTGCTGGCTGTGCTGCAGGGGGAGAATGGAGAGTTGTCAAGCGCCGGGCGCGCACTCCCCTCCTGGCTCGTGGGAAAAAGCAACAGCTGCGGAGCAGAGCCCGGGACAAAGGGGGAAATCAGAGCTGGCCATTGTCAGGCCTTCGAGACACCTCGCTGCGGCAGCGAGTGGAGGGCAGGACTCCACGGAGCAGGGTCTCTCGCTTGCTACTCAATACCTGCCGCTCGGAAGAGCGGGCGGACTCAGACGGCACCCGCTCCCCTGGGGCTTGCCGACACAGCGGCCTCTGTCTTGCTCAGCTATGCAAAGTGCAGCGAAACCAGACAGGGCCCGGCTCCTTCCCGGAAGGCTGCCGCGCTCCGGCTATGACTAAGGACCCGCACGCAGCGCGCTGGGGCGCAGGGCCGGGGAGGGGGCAAAGGCAGGGGCAGGGGATGGGCTGTGCCCCTGCGGCAGGGAGCACCCCAGCTCCGGCCGGCCCCACCGGGGTGGGGGGCACCAAAGCTTGTCCCCCCGCGCTGCAGCCCGGCTAGGCATGAGCCAGACCTGCACAGGCACCGGGGAAAACCCGGGGGGGGCTGGCACGTGCGCGCGTGCACACACACACACACTCCCCCCCCCGCCCCGCCCCACCTGCATGCTCTGGATGCACAATCACACACAAAAGGTCTCATACAAAGAACAATTTTCCAACTACTTAGTTGGTCTAATAAAGTACATCACTTCTACCCAAAGAACTGTCTGCCCTGTGCATTGGCGTGCGCACACACACGCACACACACACACACACACACGCTCCTGCCTGCATGCACCAGACACACACACACACACACACACCCTCCCCCTGCCTGCATACTCTAGACGCACATCCTCCCCTCGACTACACGTACGGGACACACACAGCAGCAGTACACACACGCACACTGCCCCCCCAACTACATGCACAGGACACTCTCCCACCCCCAATTACACACACAAGATACACACAGAGCAGCGCACCTCCCAACTACATGCACAGGACGCATACAAGGCAGCACACAACACACACCAACTCCCTTTGCCTGCATGCACCGGACACGCGCGCGCGCACACACACACACACACACACACACATCTCACCCTCCTCACCTGCCCCAACTACATGCAGAGGACACACACAAGGCAGCACGCGCGCACACACACACACACACACACACACACAACCCCCTGGACTACACAACATGCACGGGACGCGAACACAGCAGCAGGCGCACAAACTACACAACCGTCCCTGACTACACACACACACACGCACGCACGCACGCACACACAACCCCCCCGGGACTACACAACAGGCGCGGGACACACGCGCACAAACTACACAGCCCCTCCTGGCCCCGACCGCACGCACGGGACACACTCACGCGCGCGCGCACGCACAACCCGCACGGGACACAAACTACACAGCCCCTCGTGCCCGCACGGGCCACACTCACGCACACTCGCACACGCACACGCGCTCCTGCGGCGCCGGCCAGTGCCCGGCGGGCGGGGCTCACCTGGCGCGGGCGCGGGCAGCAGGCAGAGCAGCAGCGGGA